GGTACTCAGGAGGGATCCTTCCTTTGTGCCCTTATCGTGTTAACCAAGGGTTGGTACTACAGTCCTTTTGTCCTACACCATGTCATCCCAAAGAGAGAGTCTGACACAAACTAGAAGTGTGTAGGGCCCCATGTGTCTGCTTAAATAGGATGGTGCAGATTAAGCTAAAGGATTTTCTCTCTGTGTCTCGCAGCTCACAGCCTTTAGGTAAACAGGTCTCAAGCCATGTATCTGAAAGGCATATGAAGTGCAAGGCCTGATATCTCACCAGATCTGCAGAAACATCATCAACCTTTCCCACGTTTTCTGGTGGAAGAAATCTGTAGAGCTGCAACCTGGTCCACCTTTTATACCTGTGTGAGACACAGTAGGTGGGACCAGTTAAATCTGCGGAAGCGTCATCTGGTAGAAGGGTGTGCAGTGTAGTGGTGGAACAGAATACAAATAAAAATGAGGATCCCACCCAGGTTGTAGCTTGGGCATGTAGTTTGGGTTACTTTTCCCATTGAAGGAGAACGAAACATTGAGTCATCCACACCCCACCGCCAAAAAAAAATCTAGTCAGATGGAAAAATTTGTTACGGAGCTGGGCTATATTGAGACTGGAGAGTCAGCCTTGCTCTGAGCCAATACGAATTTGTATAGCCCTGCCTGGAGCGAGACAAGGTATGACCTAACAAGTTTAAATTATTTTGCCTCACTGAAGAGAAGAAACAATCAGGTAAGTTTCAGTGCTTCATTTTGTAAATAGCAGTCCTTATTCCATTTAGCCATTGTCATCTGTGAATTGAGTATACTTTTTTATTAACCCATGCTAACTACTTCTTTTAGGTATGCAGTAATGAAGCGACATGCATTTGTGATAATACCTGGGCAGGTATGGATTGTAGCATGCCTGATATGAGAAGAAAAGAAGACCCAGAACAACCAAATGGACCAAAGGGTTTGTGTGATTTCAGTTTATAAAATATTTGTATCATGTATAGTATTGGACAGGAGGGTTTGAAGCAAAGCACCTGAAAGCAAGAAGACTATACACTCTATGGGTTTGGGTTTCTGGACAGTAGTAAATATTGCTCCAGAGAACCGTCCTAGAAAACCATCAGCTTTTTCTTTCTTAGTTGTTTTCTTTTAATAACAAAAACATAGATGTGCTGTAGTACAACTAACATCTGCTGATAATGATACCCACAGTATGGCTAGTTAATCCTCCTAATGTAGTTGCTGGTTTCTCATGTGGATTTCTCTTAAACACAAATAAGAAATTATGGCTTTAGGGTTACTTTAACATATTTATTTATTTATTATTTGTATTTATACCCCACCTTGCCTGACAAGCAGAAGAATTTGAGGTTCTGGCCATTTTGTCCAACTGTGCTCAGGAGCAGTTCTCATTCATTTCATTGTAGGACTTCTTGAAAAAATTGTGCCAGTTTGGTGTAGTGGTTAAGTGTGCAGACTCTAATCTGGGAGAACCGGATTTGATTCCCCACTCCTCCACTTGCACCTGCTGATGTGACCCTGGGTCAGTCACAAGCTCCAGCACAGCTGTTCCTGAAAGAGCAGTTTGTGTCAGAGTTCTCTCAGCCCCACCCACCTCACAGGGTGTCTGTTGTGGGGAGGGGAAGGGAAAGGAGTTTGTAAGCCACTCTGAGACTCCAAGTGAAGGGCAGGGTATAAATCCAATCTCCTCTTCTTTTCCTCTCCAGTTTATTAGCTTGCATTTGTGAAGAAAACTCACAGTTCTGCAAAGCAGACTTTTGGTATTTTGGTAGATTTTTTTTAAAAAAACCATAACTGTTGCATATTTAATGGGCTTAAATATATAAAAAAAACACAGAGGCCACGTTGGTTCTTTGCCCTAGAATTGATGCTTTTGGGAAGTGTTTTTTCTCCTGTTTCCAAGTAGTCTTGTGGTGCACCTCCCAAAGTTTCCTGTCTTATCTTTCCTAAGCCTTTTGCTGTGAAGTTTTGGGAATAATTTCAGCAAAGCCTGGATGACTGCATTGTGGGTGGAAAAGTTTGGATTGTTCTGGTACTGCCCGTGTGGCAGCCACCAGCAGCAGCCATTTCCTCCCCCCACTTTTTAAAATTGGCAATTGAATGTTGTAGCAATATAACAATCTGTACATCAGGTGCTCTGAATTCCCAGCTTTTTTTCAAGCAGTTAGCCTTTAGCACATCTCATTACAGATACGCATTTCCTCTTGTGTCTCCACAATTAACAGGATTTTCTTAAAATGAAAGCTGAGAATTCAGAGAACCTGATACAGTAATCTGTCTGTTGTTATAACAATATAATGACATTCAGTTGCCAGTTTTAAAAAAACCTGAAAAAAAACCCTGGTTGTAGAGGGGGATGACCACTGCTGAGGGGCTTGGTCAGGAAACTACGGGGAAACTTGCCATATGGAAGCCCTGTTGCTCTTGTGTTGTAGGGGTGTGCAAAGACCTCCCCAGTATTTTTGGGGTTTAGGTATATAGAACCCAAAAATATTGGTACTTTCTGATATTCCTGAATCCCAATAATGGTATGGCATTGGGATTTGGGAATTTTTCAGATAACCCAAAATTTTTGGCTCCGTTATAGGGTATGATGAAGAATCGATCACTCGCCGAGTTTCACCACCGTCTTCTTCAAGTGTGGTGGCAGCGTGACTCATTAAGTGACCTCAGAAGGCATATGCCTTCTGAATTCGCTACCCAAGTCATGCCGCAGCAGGGCTTGGAGGAGTAGGCATTTAAAGAGACTATGGTCTCTTTAAATGCCTACTGCCTTCTCTGAACATGGCGGCAGAGGCATGACTCAGCATGTGAACTCAGAAGGCCTATGTCTTCTGAGTTCACTAGCTGAGTTGTGCCACTGTGATGGGGCTTGGCGGGGTAGGCATTTAAAGAGACAGCAATCTGTTTAAATGCCTTCTCGGCATAGCTGAATGCACCTGAATAAAAGCCAAAGAAAACTGGCTTTTTTCAGGGTCAGCTAAATCGGTAGCAGAATACAGATCTCTGATCTGCATTCAGCTTAAAAATACCCAAAAAATACCAGTAAGGTATTTTTTCAGGTATTTTCCCACTCTGATAAATCGAATGCATACAGCTACAACTGCAACAGGGAAACTATGCAAGCTGTTCCCCATGTGGAAAACACTAGAATCTGAAGCTAGTGATTTGGATCTGCCAGAGTGTTTAAGCAGATGGAAGAATTTCTGCCCACGGAACATGATTTTGTCACTTACCCCCTCCCCTTTTCCGGGGCAACATTTCAGGGGACATTTTGAGCTGTAGCAGAAGGTGAGGAAGTTGTGCTCCATGGATGGAAAACCTTTGCTCTGCACCAACACTTTGAGCATTCAAGCAAGTATCCCCAAGGGTCAAAACTACACATTAGGGTTTTTTAGCTAGTTGGGGCAGGAATTACATCAGAGCAAACCACACAGACAGATAATTGGAGTAAAAAACAGGCCACAGCTTTATTGATTACAGCACATGGGGCATTTGGTGCAGCATAGGGCATGGATCCAAGCAACGGGTGACCCGCTTGTCGGCTGATGAATCTCATCCCAGCCTGCGTGCTGGTGGATCCAGGAGTGGCAAGCAGGTGGTCCCAACTAAGGCACAAGCCTTGGTGTGGAACCATTGCCATCTGGGAGTGGAGCTGGACAACCATCCCTAAGCTAGGCCTGCTGCTAAATGGCTTGACCCCCCAAGACCCCTTACAGCAGATGGGGTATTTGGTGCAGCATAGGGCAGGGATCCAAGCAACGGGTGACCCGCTTGTCGGCTGATGAATCTCATCCCAGCCTGCATGCTGGTGGATCCAGGAGTGGCAAGCAGGTGGTCCCAACTAAGGCACAAGCCTTGGTGTGGAACCCTTGCCACCTGGGAGTGGAGCTGGGCAACCATCCCCAAGCTAGGCCTGCTGCTAAATGGCTTGACCCCCAAGACCCCTTAAGAAGGCCCCCACCAGGGGAGGTGGGCATGCAAGCGCAGCCTCCTCACAAATGGAGCCGGCCCAATGCCTAAAACCCCTGTACAGATCTATGGTGTAGCCTCATTTGGAATACTGTCTATAGTTTGGGTCACCATATCACAAAAGACATTGCAGAGCCTGGAAAAGTACAGAGGAGGCAACCAAGATGATTAGGGGGTTGGAGCCCTTTCCCTGTGAGGAAAGGCTGTAGAGTCTGGGACTTCTCAGTTTTGAGAAGAGATGTCTAAAAGAGCACATGATAGAGGTTTATAAAATTATACATGGGGTGGGGAGAGTTGACAAAATTTTTCTCCCTCTCCCAAAATACTAGACCTTGAGGGCATCCAGTGAAGCTGATGGGCAGTAGATTCAGGACGGACAAAAAGAAATACTACTTACATAGAGAGTGATTAAAATGTGGAATTTGCGCCAGAAGATGTAGCAATGGCCAGAGGAATAAACAGCTTTAAAAAGGGATTAGATAGATTCATGGAGGATAAGTCTATCAATGGCTACTAGCCATGGCAACTAAGAGAAACTTCTACATTCAGAGGCACTAAACCTCCGAATCTCAGAGCCAGAAGGCAACATCAGGGTAAGGTCTCAGCCTCTCTGCCGTGTTGTTGGCCCTCCAGAGGAACTGGTTGCCCACTGTGTGAGGCAGGATGCTGGACTAGATAGACTATTGGTCTGATCCAGCAGGGCTGTTCTTATGTGCCATAAAACTATGGTAATGAACAAATTAAGCAGAAAATAGCACAAGAAAACCACAACAAAGCTGATGCGTGCCCAGGCACCTCTCAGGCCCTGATGTCAGCCCAGCCCACCTGGAGGCCACTGAGACTGCTGTGGCCTGGCCAGACCATTCCATGGCAGAACATGTGGAGCCCTTCCTCCAGCGGGAGCCCCTGTCCTGTGGCCACAAAGTGGACACCAGTAAGTGGGTGGCTGTGAATTGGAACTGCACATGGAGTACTCCAAAGTTATGTAGTAACTTCCTATCAGGGCCACTTTGGCTCAGGAAAGTAGTGTAGAGGGAAAGGCAAGAGCCCCTCCCCCCCATGCCAGACTTTCGAGCAGAATTGGGCTCCTGGGGACTTCAGAAATTATGACTTTTCTGGCAGCTGCTGTGTGACTGCAGGGAAAATGAGTTGAATCCAGGGAATCCCAAGCCAACTTGCCCGAAAATGCAACATGTATTTTGGCCCTAAAATGTAGAAGCAAAAGGGCACATAGCAGTTTTTCTTTTGTGGACTAAAATCCATTTAGAAACTTGAAGGTTTAAATTTTTTGTTAGTGTTAATGCGTCCCTTTTTGTACATCTCTCACCTTCAACCCTCAGAATGTGGTGCCTCACTTTCGCTTCTGCCATAATCCAGAATTTGGAACGTTCCGACTATTATGTTGTTACCTGTAGCAGTTTTGTGGATATTATGCAATTATATATGAGCTGATATGAAAGTGAATTTAAGTATGGTGGGTATACTGCATGCATGGAGCTTCAGCTTGTACCATCAGACTAATGGAGTCATGGAGGAAAATGGCAATGCAAGTTATTAAAATAATTGTACAGTAATACCTCCTATAGTGCTGTAGGTACATTCTGCAAACCGATAGCTGTATGAAACAGCATTATAGGAGGTAATTACGGGACAATTCTAATGGAGAGGTGTTCGCAGCATCTTCATTTCTTATATACAGGTAACATGTGAGGGTCGACCAGAGGAGGCATCAGCCATCTGCCGATTGTTCCTATTAGGCTCCCATGCTGGAGTGACCCACCCAAGTAGCATCTCCATGTCACCTTCTGCAGTTCCTGTTTCTCTGCCTCACAGGTCTTTTAGAGACCTCTGATGTGGGTGGCCGACAGCTGGCCTGCCTGCAGCTGCACCACATCACTTCCTGGCCACCTCCCACCTACATTCAGAGGTCTTTAGGAACAGGAGCAGTAGGGCTAACTGATAACCACT